CCCCCCCAATTTCCATCCTGCCTCATCAGTCTGCTGGTCCCCTTGCTCCCAACTCGCAGCCACCTGCCCAGCCCTGGGGCTTGGCGCAGCCAGCCAAACCCTGTGGCTTTGTGGTGGAAAAAGTTCAGTAGGGGCTGTGCTGACTTGTCTTGCTGAGACCTCAGGGAAGGGAGCGGTTGTGGGGGACTGGTGTGGGAGCTGGGGCTGCCTGCGCGTCACGCTGGCTTCGCGTGCCTGCCTGGCTGACAGTGCTCCCCTGCCACAGCCCCCGGCCGCTCCTACGAGCCGCAACTACGCCGAGATCCGAGAAAAGCTGCGTTCACGCCTCACCAAGAGGAAAGAGGAGCTGCCACAGAAACTAGGGCACAACAGCAGCTCGGGAGAGCCCGCTGTGGACCACCGCAACGTGGATGAGCTGCTGGACTACATCAACAGCACAGAGCCCAAGCCCTTGAATAGTGCCAAGGCGGCCAAGCGGGCACGGCACAAGCAGAAGAAGAAGGTGAGGCTGGGCAGAGGGAAGCACTGCCTAGGGCGGGCTGCAGGAGGGAGATCAGGGCAAGATTCCTTGCAGGGCCTTGCCCTCTCTTCCCTTGTATCCATCTGGTTTCTTGAACTTTGTGTCCTTTGCTGCCCTCTCCCCTGAGGTGACAGTGGTGTCTGGCTGCATGCAGGGCTTCCCCTGCATCTGTTCCTGCAGATGGTGGCCCAGCCCTCTCTGGCGCTCTGGGCTGTGCTCTCCTACCCGCTCCATGCTGCGACTCTGACAAACAGCATGGGAGGGGCAGTGCTGTGATGGCTCGTGCTGGCACTTTGTGCTCAGAGCAGTGTCCAGCCTGCAACATGGTGGCTGTCGTCATTCCCACGGAGGACATATGATAGTTCGGGGGCTGCAGAAGACATGGGGTGGCCATGCTGAGTGTCGGCCCTTGGGTTTGCTACCTGACAGTGCTGGTGCAGGGCTACCCCCATGACCTGCACATGTGGCACTGCAGGTCAGGGCACCCGAGCCTCATGGCACCTGTGTTGCAGGAGAAGGAGAAAGCCCAGCTGGAGGCGGAGGCCCAGAAGCGGGCTGAGCGTGCCCCTGCAGCCAGCCAGGCCAGGGAGCCGGCCGAGGAGAAGCTGCTGGAGTGGCCGGAGCTGGAGCTGGAGCGGGTGAACAGCTTCCTCAGCAGCCGGCTGCAGGAGATCAAGAATACCATCAAGGACTCCATCCGGGCCAGCTTCAGCGTCTACGACCTCAACCTGGATGTCAATGACTTCCCCAAGAAGGCAGCTGTCCTGGAGCAGAAGAACCTGCTCTCTCACCTCAATGGTTCCTCTGACCTGCAGGACATAGACCTGGCCCTGGCCCCGCTCAGCCTGGGCCCTGCCAAGAGCCACACGCTGCTGCGGGGTGAGCTGGGTCCCCGATGGGGTGAGGGGCCCGGGGAGCCACCACCAGCCCCAGCGGCCGAGAACGGAGTGGTGAAACGCCTCAGCGCCGTGCCCAGCCTCTCCCGCATGATCTGGGTGCAGTCCAAGGCTGTGGACTCTGCTGTGGATGGCAGCGGGCTGAGCCCGGAGCCCAAGGAGGGACTGCAGCCCAAGGGGCCGGAGCCTCCAGAGCCGGTGCCTGCCGGGAGCCGGCAGCGGAAGAACAAGCGGCAGAGCGGGCAGGCGAAGAAAGGGGAGGGCGTTGCTGCGGTGGCCGGTGGCCAGGCCCGGCTGGAGAGCCCTGGTGCGAAGGGGCAGGTGCTGGGAACCAAGCACCCTTCCAAGGCCAGTGCTGCAGAGCTGCAGCGGGCAGGCGGCTGTGCCGAGCTGGGGGAGAGTGGCAAAGGGCAGCCCTGGGGCTGCGGTGGCGGCAGGTTGGAGAAGGAGAGAAGCGGCGAGGGGAAAGGCCGCAGGGGAGAGGGCAAAGCCGAGCTGTCAGAGCTGGCGCAGCAGCACCCGCCTGCCGCAGCTGCAGATCGGCAGCTGCCTGCCCCCGCTGCCCTGGGGGGCTCCCCCCAGCCCAAGGGCAAGAACAGGAAGAGCCGGAACAAGGTGGAGAAATCCAATACCTCGATTGGTGAGTGCCAGGAGCGCCGCTCTGCGCCACCATCCTCCCTGTGACCCCGTCCCCCCTGCCCATCTGGCAGCTCTGAACCTCTCTCTGCTGTTCTGCTTTGCCAGATGACGTGTTCCTGCCCAAGGACCTGGACGGGGCGGAGATGGACGAGACTGACAGAGAAGTGGAGTATTTTAAGAGGTGAGGGGTCAGCGCTGGGGGGGCCAAGCCCTGCCGGTGGGGCTGGAGGGGTCTGCACAGAGGGGCTGGTGGCTGACCAGGGGCTGTCCTCTCCCTGCCAGGTTCTGCCTGGATTCAGCCAAGCAGACACGGCAGAAGGTGGCGGTGAACTGGACCAACTTCACCCTGAAGAAAACCACTTCCAGCGCAGCCCAGTGAGGTGCGGGGGGGGGCGCCCCCCACCCACGGCCGCTTGCCTCTCCTCACTGTGCCCCCCGCCCCGCGGGCCCCTGCCT